TCGTCGACGGACGTTGCGACCGTAATTACGGCTCGCCTGCCCCAACGTTGATGAACCCTTTGGAAGAAATCGCGTACCGCCGCCAATTCGCCGCTTCCCACATGGTCCGTCATCAACACAAGTCAAGCCGGGTTCTTTCACGGGAGCGGAATTCCGCTCCCCTTTTAATGGTACATAAAACAGAACTCTCAGAAACACTCAATCTAACATAGAAAGACACGCGTCATCACACTAATATTCACACTCGCCCGTAAAGTCAGAGTTAAACACAAAGAGGGCCCCCAGACCTCGTGTCCCGCGATTACCCTAGATCCGGTCGCACACACTTGCCTGTTTTCGGTGCCGTCCGGAGTCCCAAGAGCCTGTTCGCCCCCTGATTCACCGACTATCTCGATCGATGGCCGAGGAGTTTCTCCTCGCCTGCCATGGGCGCCTGCAGCGCCATCCAGTGGCTAGGAGAGAAAGCGGCACGTCGGGAGCCGAATTCGAGATCCCAATCGACCCCGCGGTGACGCGACTATGTGGTCGTGTCTGAGACGAAGCAACTGCATAGCCGCCTCGCGGCCACGACGCCAGATTGGTTTGATGGGCGCCCTCGTGAATGCACGGTGCGCCATATTATCAAGAAACATAGCATAGAACCTACGCAATGTATTCTTGGTGGGGTCCAGGCCCCGAACAAACTATGGCACACAGAAACTATTGATAATCAAATTATAGCCGTATGCAATATCCGTCCCAATTGAATGTGCTGAAAAAAGTAAAACCGCCTACCAATTAAAAAAAAAAAACTACACCATTTCTTTTTTGTTTACTCTTAATTATACCTAATAAAATCAAAATAAATATTCCATTAGTAACACGACAATGATAATCCCTTTTCTGTGTCTAACGTTAAACAACCTTATCGCATGCGTTTTAACTTCCTTGTGTGTTTTATTAATTGAGCTATTGCTTCTCCTTACTCTGTGCTTGGGCTAACTAATATACAAAAGTATTGCTTAATTATTTTTTTCAGCAGGTTTTGCTCTCTGATGTGCAAACCCAAGGTGATGGCCTTATCAGGAGACAGATTATTCCTCTTTAGCCGCACCTCGAGGACATTTGTACTTTATATTCATGTCCACATAAAGTTTCATTTGATTTGATAATGGCTTGTTGTTTGTTTGTGATGACGAACACACATCGGAATGCTCGCCCGAGTTTAATAGATAGTTTTAGAGAATCGTGTTTGCACATCCGATACGCCACGATGGGCCCTCTGGTGCAAACTACGCATATGCGAGACTTGTAGCACATACGCAGCTCGTTCCTGGGGACTCATTGTACCGTATCGGATGTGCAAAAACGGTTACATAAAACTCTATATTATCAATGGTCAGGGAATGTTGACCTAATGTATGTATTGCGGGGCTCTTGACAGCCCGAAGGCACGGCGTAGCCGGGTTCAGCTTGCGGTCAGAAGGGGTAGCAGGCCACACTTTGACTTCCGCGCCAGTGAGCACGAGAAACTGGAGGCTTGTAATTTTGTCACGGACGTAACACAAGCGGCTGATGGACTGGCCGGGGTCATTCGCCGCCGTTAGTGTCGGGCCTCGGCGTTTTCCGTCCATGAAGAGCGCCGGGTGCAACGTATTGCTTGACCACGAATGTGCAATGGTACCAGCAGATCTAGCGGTTGCCGGAGCCGGAAGCACGGTGGGAGCCTGAGCGAGCGCGAGAGGAGCTGCGTTGCCTTTACCGAGCGGGTCGGTGCTCAGCAGGGTCAAGGCGATGATAGTGGCAGCCAACTCTTCTATTTTTGATTCCATCCGGGCGACTGCGACCTCGCAGGACTGAGTGGTGCGTGTTTGGAACAAATGAACAGTGTGAGTGGAATAGTCAGCAGTGCGGTCTGCTAGCACCGCGACTCGCTCGAGCGGCATATAATCCGCGGCGGCAAGGATCATTTCCATCCCTTCCGGAAGTTTATGAAGAAAAAGCTCACGTAGTATGGGATCGGGGACGTCGGGGTTCTTTGAGCCCAAGAGCTGACGCATCTGATGAAGTAGCTGCGACGGGTGACAATCGCCAAGTTCCTGTGCTGTGAGTAGTCGCTTAATCCTGGAGCGTTCCGACACCATTGTCCGAGTCAGGAGCACACTCTTGAGATGGTCATGGGCATCGTCGCGAGGGGTTGTGAGAGGACACCGTCGATTTTAGCAGCAACTTCAGTTGGTAAGGAGGCGACGACGTTGTAAAAACGAGTGATTTGTGACGTGATTCTTTGCAGATTAAAATGTGCCTCTAACTTGATGTACTGAACCTGGGGGTTCCTGGGCCAGAAGGAAATAGCCGTAACGGAAGTGGTCCGGCGGCCTTAAAAATGCCTATGTTCGGTTGGTTTGGTTCGTGAGGAGTGGGCTGAGCGCCGCCGGTGTGCTGCGTGGACGCGCGGCGTTGTTGAGCTTGACGTGCAGGCATGGCCAAGCAAGCGGTAGATCATCCCGGTCACCAATTTGCAAGAATGTCCGACCAGCTCCAGATCAAAATTCAATCACGGGGCCTCGGTGCTTGTTATATCGGACGTGAGCCTTCTCGTCTTTTACCAGACGACAAAGTGATGGGTCGCTACGTAAGGTATTCACGGGGTACCATATTTGAGCGCGTTCTTCGCAGCGCATCCAAGGGTGAGGGAGGGGGGGGGGGGGGAGGGGTGTATGGTTGGCCATGCAAAGGTCCCCGCATCCTCAAATCAAGCTCGTACCTATCACCTGCTAAGAACGGCAATATTGGTAGAATGGAATGCAGATTGCGCAAGCACTGTGGATTTCTTCGCCAAGCTTTGCGATTCCGTTTAAACCCGAGTTGTCTATGCATTTACGCTCTACTTTCGTGAGCGGCTCTGGTGTGGGAGGCATTCAACGTCATAACTACATCGGCCTCCCAACTACTTGGTGGTATGGAGAAATCGTTTTATTTGTAATAAAATTAGTTTTCGTGCGTTTACGAGCAGAAGACGTGTTTCTAAGGTGCTGACACCAAGGCGGTTTCTTACTAAACAAATAGGTAAGAGCTTTCCGTACGCCTTTAAAGGGAAAATATTGATGTTCATCGATTTTTATAAAAAAAAAATACCATGCACTAAATATCTATGCTAAGTATGTATAAAAATTTCTAACCAATATAATAATAATCTTTCGGAAAAACAATTTTTTCTTTATGTTTACGCGTACACTTCCGAATAGCTGGATACCGTTCTACAGGCAAAAACGGACAGGGGCGCTCGTGGCGTCAAATGTATCCGAGAGCAGACGACGCTCCTACCTCAGCGGCGTTGAGTGTTGTAGTGACAGTTAACGTCTGCAGTTTTGTGGATTCTGTCTGCTTTAGGCTATCTGCGCCTCGGGATGGAGGGTGGGAAAAATCGGTGATATGTTGTGGGGTTCAATACGGTAAACAAGTGTTTTAAGACGGCAACAACTCGTTGAGAACGCGCGATGTCAAAGCAGCCAAGCTCACGCCGTAATTGGCTGAGGTCGGGGGAAAACACACGCACTTGGACGCATTTGGGGGTAAAAAAATACCACGATGTGCGCAAAGAGCAGACGAACTTGCGCGCCGTATGAAACCACCGAGAAATGCGGCAAAGTCACATCTGATCGGTTTCAGACCGAGAAGTCTCTGCGACGGAAGTTGGTCCAAGCAGTCCGACGCGAACGCTGGCTCCTATCGTTCGCGTCCTGCTTGAACAGAGTCCGCGCCGTTCTATAGCAAACAAAACCTCCCACAGAATTGGACTTCCGAAGCGGCATCTGGGTCCATATGTGGGCGGATTGCGGATGCAGCCCAGCCGCCACGGGTGGTCCCCTTGGGGGCGATGCCGGCGGATCAAATGCCAACGGTGAATCGTCTGAAATCTCGTGTTAAAATTCCTATAACATTTGCTGGTCACTGCTTGACTCAGACAAGCTTGATGAATCGTAGTCCATTATTTTCCACGGACAATCGCGACGGCCTTTCGAGTGCTTCGGTCGCTGGGCGAAACAGGCTCAAGGTGCCCATATGCTGTTGTTCACACAATATGTGACGTCACAGCAAGATGACGGCGAAGTAATGTTGCAGTGTAGTTTCGGTTTCGGCTTTATCGTATTTCTACAATTTTAAATTATTTAAAAAGTAAAAAAAAAACAAAAACTTTACTTACAGCTCTAGGCTCAGCTTTTTGCCCTATTTCAGAAGATATGTACACTTGAAAACGCTCAAAATATTTCCGGAGCTCCCTTTAAGAAGCGTAACGCGTGGCGAGTCCTACGTATATTATTCGCGTTCTGGAACCCATGAGATTCTGATATTAGAAGGTAATAACGCCGAAGAAAGAATCGTGAAGCTGCAATCATGAACATAATAAGTCACACCCTGAGTTTGTTAAGTTGGCAGTGACTATAGATGGGTAGGCGTTCGAGGCACTTTATTTATTTACTTTTTTTTCGTAAATCAAGAAAAACATAGATTATGATAACTTTGAGTAAGCAGTCGACCAGAGTTCAAGTGAGCATGTTTCATGAAATGTCAGGATAAGGCTTGCCAATTTTCAACTGCGCCTAAAAAAAATGAGGAACAAAAACTCAGAGGAAATGGTAAAGGCTATTAATAAAATGTAAAAAAATATCAGAAGTGGCCGCGGTCAACTAAAAGTCAAGTTGTTTTTCAGTGAAGATCATAAGGTCGATTTCGAAAGGACACAGCACACTTAAATCACTAAAACAGCTCAGCAGAATTGAGAAGGGGCCCGATAAATTTTCTTCCGCTATCTGAGAGTTCGACCAGGAACAACGGCTCTATTCATACGTTCTTGCCAGACTCCAGCTAAAAGTAAGGCCTAAAAATAAACAAAACAATTTTTTTAAAACTTTATTCTGTTCTTTGTGAATTGGAAGCACGTGCCCGAAATGTGCGCAATAAACCGAAATGTTGTGGATGAGAACATATCATAAAGGCTTTTCGGAGGAAGTGTTTCTGCTCTATCTCTCTCTAACTTCTCACAGTCATAACAGTCCTGATAAGATATGATTTTGAAGCTGGTCATCATTGTGCAAACCTGGAGCGCCATTCACGGAGCTACAGATCGTGAGTGAACTTTTACTAAAGGCGAAACGTGCCGATCACCTCTGCCTCATGGCGAATACCCGTGATTATACCAAATCTTGTAGTGTAGACGTCGCGATTGTTTCTTGCAAAATTCCCGTTAGTGCGTCATATAAAACGGTGCAACTCACACGCCTTTTTTCTTCTTCAATTATGGTACTCAATTGCGTAAATTTTCAACGGCGGTTATATTCCTCGTTTCATTCGCTGACGAGCAGGCACGTAGGCAGGGGGGGAGGGGGGGGGGGGGCGTGGGGCCTGGGCCTTCCCCGAAATCATCCATTTTGTTGGGACCTCCTTTCTCCCCCCCCCCCCCCCCCCTCCCCCCGAAACAAAATCCTGGTTACATGCCTGCTGACGAGTATGTTGAAACTGGATAACGCTTGTCCATGGACTACTGCGATCACAGTACACATTCGGGTGCGTTCACATAGGACGGTCATAGCCCTGATATAATAGTTATTTTCTGTTTTAAATTAAATGATTATATGAGGTAGCAAACTTTGTCGGCACAACGGAATGAACCTCACTTTTTCATGAAACTTGCTTACGTAACACAAAATTGCATCTGAGAGGACGTGTCAGAAAGATTTTACCAATTGTGCGGAGACGTACCTTTGATGGTCACAGCCGTAATAAATAGAAGCTTCTACAACGTACTACTTGAATCTATAAAGCACGCCAACTAGTATACATGACTTAGTTAAATTTATTTTATTTAAATGTGTATTTTAAGTAAAATAAAATGACAAACATGGCCGTTTGTGTAACCATTTCAGATTTAGGGGTTTTAGGGTGACTTTTTAACACCTCTTAGGCACGCTTCAAACGGGGCAACTTTCTCAGCAACTTTGGTGTTGCTGGCGGGGTGTTTCCTAGCTTTTCCTAGATCGACACGAATTGCTGAGGTAAAATTCGGCTCAAAACAACCGAGCAACTCGGAGAAATTCGAACACGTTTGAAGTGGCTGCAGGTAAATCAGGGACGCGATATTTATACGTGGTACCCCGCGTCGGTGATGATGACAACTAAAGACTTGGTTCTAGTTTAAAATTCGCGGACGACACCAAGAAAGTAATGTGTGTGCGCGGAAAAAAAAAGGCGGATTAATGAATTATTGTTGGCGCCGAGTCCCCGCCAGTGGAATCTGTACGAGGAAGAAACAGTCACTCGCGAAGAAAATCAAAGCATAATACAAAATACATGATTCGTCGGGAAAGAACCTGATAAGTGGTTCGAGCACACCATCGCGCTCCCCCATACCTTCTTGCCCTTAGTTAATATAATCTCTACTGCCCCAGCTGTTTTCTCTTGGATATGGATGGAAACTTAGACCTTCTTTGGTCGCGTGTGTTGTGCCACCGGTGACAGAACGGAACAATAACGAACTACTGCGCCGCGTCCGAAAACAAGCGATTACGCCGTACCGCTATGGCGCACTCGATGTAACCAAACCGGGCACCCGGTTTGTTTACATCGCGGGTATCGCGTGACATTCACCTGTTGCTCAGTGGCGCCCCCTAGCGTGGTTCTCGCCGAGAATAGAGAAGCGAAGGTGTGGAATTTCAGATAGGAGCGGGAGCAGGCGCGCCATAACTACGTTGAACAAGGTTGGTGTGTTGACCGTTTTGAGTCTGGTCTTGTCTCCGATCTTGACCTTGTTCCGCCTGTCTCGAAGAAGTTTTAGATGCAGCTGAGCGCCCGACCGCCGACACCCGCCAGGCTTGCGCTTCCGACCCCCACCGCGTGAGGGACTGAGTCAAAGGCAGTGGCGTAGCCAGGGGGGAGGCTTATGGGGCTTCAGCCTCCCATGAAATCCAGCCAACCACATGACATCCATGCGGTATAAGGTTTAAAAGCGCAAACAGGCAGAGACGATAGGAAACAACACAAACGACTAGGACAGGCACTACTCTCACTTCATTTATTGCAAGACCGTTCAACGCTTATATGCAAAACTCATCTGCCTCTACATATCAAAACACGCTAACAGCCAATAAAACACTTTACCAGACAACCCTCTAGATACGTCACTTCTTTACCAGGAGGCCTTAAAACCTTATAACCTTATACCTAGCATGGACGAACTAGCCCAAACCAAAATTTGAATGAGACATACATATGCATTTTGACGCCCTTTTGACCCCCTCCGCACCCTTAGTCAAGGACATCCCGGACAACTCGGCCTCACCCTTCCCCCTCACACACTTCCCTAAGAAAAGTTTCTGGCTACGCTACTGGTCAAAGGCTTTTTGGACGTCGACTGCTACGATTGTTCTGGGTCGAACTTTCGAAGGACGATACAGCACATCGAGACTGAAGATGAGTAGGTTGGCTAGCGTGCTCAGGTCCCGTCGGAAGCCTGTTTTGGCAATTCTTCTTCCACTTCTTCTTTCACCTCTTCTTGTTCTTGCTCTTTTTTTTTTATTCTTCGTTTTCTTCCTTTTCCTCATATTCTTCTTCCTTATATTCTTATTTTTTAATTTAAAAACTTCTTAATTCACAAATTTTGGTTAGCCATTCCACTGTCGAAGTCTTGGTTCGAATATTTCTTGGTAGAAAAGAGCAGGAGATACGTTCCAAACTTATATTGGAGGTAGGAACAGCTTTTGACGCAAGAACACGTTATAAAAGTGGAATATATAGTTACAATGACAACATATTAAGCGTGTGTTCTTTTTCATATCTTGTTATTTTTTTATTACTTGCAAAAGTTTTGAAAATGTACCAAACGAGAAAGCAAATGCCTCCAAGAATTGCGAGTTAACTGTTAACTACGAATTAGTCAATATTTCTGTATAATGCGAGCAAAAGTGTCTAAACATAGTATTTTTTAATACACACATATCACGACACAAACCAAATTCGCTTTCTTTTTTTTTTATACACAATTCAGGTACTAGAAAACCTGCTTAAGACATATCGTGACCATTAGTTACGCCACTGAACTTAGCATTCTGTACTATATCACAAGAATATTGTCAAGCTCAATTATAATTTTTTTTTCAGCAAGTAAATACATCAGAACAGTGCAAATAAATGAAACATGCAGAGCAGACAAGATAGTAGTAACACCATATGTGAGTAGTATTTTGTATTATTTTTACAAAATAAGGGTTTTACCACTCCTGGATGACATATCGCAGAAGTGTGCAAAATAATAAATGATATAGAAATTACTCTCATATTTTTGCAAACAATACCGAGAATCACGGCTAATTTAAAACCCTTTTATGACCTTACGCTACACAAATGCACAAAATAAATTATGTTTACGTTATAATGATCATAAACGCTATAGGCATATATCTTTGTGCGCTCTGAAGCAACACTCAAGGTGTTATGACTCTTTCTAAGTCGTGTTAACTCGACGTAGACAGAAAATTAATTCTTTTCCGCTCCGTTAGAATCGGCCTGAAGTACTTTTTGTTTGTTCATGTTCTTACCGTGGAAGCTAAATTTCTTAAAGCGGGAGCGGGCCGTGATTAGTAACTCTGACATTGGTGGCTCCATATCATTG